CTTTGCACTAAATTAAACTACAAATATTTTAAATGCTGCAAGTAAAGGTGTTAGAATGGTTTAAGGAAAACTCATTAAATGTAAACATTTGTGTTGGATATAAAGTTCTTAAACTTGAGTTTGGATGCAATATCATGATCGGCAAACCAACTACAATCAAATTACCCAAATGTTACAGTTTTGACTCTCGTAATTACTATCCATTCTGTATTTTATATTTAATGTTATTTGAATGTTCTTTTAGCTTTCTGTTCGGCCGCGTCACTCGCTTGTACAAATGTCCTTTTCAATTTGTTTTCCCTCGTCTTCTTATATTGTGCCGACACTTTCTCCGCTAGTTTTGCGATCCTCTTCATAGTCTGTTGAGGATATCTGAAGGAAGGAGGTTTTATTTATGAATAAGATTTTATTGAATGTTAAAAAAAAAGAATATTCTATATGATAACTTGAGATATGTTGTAATAATCAATAGTGGCAAGTTTCATCTTCAAGATACATGAAGCAACATCTGTTGTTGATATTTTAAGTGCAAAAGTTTTAAAATTCTCTGTTTGTTTTGTCACTGATATATGCAGCTGAAACTTCTATGGATTAGATTATAACATACATATTTGACAATGGCGAAATTTAAAAGATAATGCCAATAACTCGAAGAATAGAAGAAATACGATTTAATTTGTTGTTTAAGTTTCAGTTGTTTATTTACCTGCATCCCAGAAACTCTATGTTTGTGAACAGTTGTGCTAGAGTTATCAATTCGGATTCTTCGAAGTTATCTTTATGCTCCATCATGAAGCTTCGTCTCACTTCCCATTGCTCATCAGATTCGTGTTCCGTTCGTAAGGAGTCCACATCAATAGTAGGTTTCATTGTTATTCTATGATTGATCTAGTTACAAGGTTAGTTCTAGGCACTATTTTATTGTATTAAATATTGTGAAGTTATTATTGTTATTGGGTATGAAATAAGTAATAGTTATTTAAATTAAAACCATAAGACGTACATGACAATACTACTACTTCAGATGTGCATATTGTGAATGTATAGCGTTTCGTAAACAACTCATTTACGGTTGTTTTTGACAAGCGACAGAGTTTTAAAATGAATTATTTTTTATACTATTTGCGCTGTAGCTTGGTGCGGGTGACATTCGCCTATATGACGTTGATATCTGTCAGTACCATATGACTAGTGATGTTGCGTAATTCATTTTTATCACTAACGATACTCGCAGTATAAATAATATAGTACTTATATAAAATAATTAAAATCGGGTTTATGATTTTTTTCGTAACAACATATTGACAATATAATGGACTCATCGTTAATAATATCCGTCACAGATACAGATGATGAATTTAGTGACAATTCAGATGATCCTGGTTCTGATATGAGTTTAGACGAATAAAATCTTTTATTTAAGATCACTTGTTTCATTAATATAATTATAGACTTTTTACAATGATAATTGAACTACAGCCAATATATGTATATTTTTTTATTATAAAAAAAACATCGACTATCCATTGTAGCAGTACATCCCATCACTAAATACGTCTATGGCATTACGTTAAACGCATAATACTTTGCTTAATTTTTCTTTCCATTAGATTATATTTGTACACTAGAACATTCTAGTTTGGTTTAATTTAAACTACTTCAAGTAATTAATGATTTAATTTATTATGAATGTGGTACAGCTGAAATACTAAGTCATAATTTGTAAATCGCGGCAACTTTCAAGAGTGAAACGAAACGTTACTGAAACTGTCACCCGCACCATGCTACAGCGCAAATAGTATAACGCTTTTGGTGTTTATTTAATATAATAACCAAACATTAAATTGCAATTTTTATACACAAGACAAATAAACTTTATTTATTTAAAACCAACATGTAAACGATTGCTTACGCAGTAAATATTTTGGCCATTACAATTATCCGAGCAAAAACTAAACGTTCTGATATTTTTTGACATTGACTTAAGAATCATAATATAACCTGAGAAAGTTTAAAACTACGTATAAATAATTGTAATTACTTTTGGAGGTATAAATTTTAGTCTAAAGGATACTCAAATATATAATTGTTATGTATGAAAAGATATTTATATATCTACTTATATAAAATAAGTCCAAAATTTGTTTAAAAATATTTCCTATATACATTTAAAATGGAAAATAGTTTGAATATTCATATACATTTTGGAGGAGGAGCGGAGTTACTGTTTGATAAAATTAAGAAACATGTCGTAGAGTTACCGGCGGCGAGGAAATATTTTCCTGATACTGATATTGAGAAATGGAGGATAAAAGAACTTTTACAATGGATAAAAGACAATTTATTGAAGGAAAGACCCGAACTGTTTCTACAGGTGAGAGAAACACAATCATATTAACATTATATATACAGCTAATGTATAACTTTGTCAATATATAAATACAATTTAAGCATCTCGTCAAGTCGAGTAGTCAATTTTTATCAAAAATAAAGTCGCGTAGTATAATCCGAAAAATTATTAGTTTCATTTCCACTTTTAACATATCAATGCTGAATAAAAAGCTAGCTTATGTTTAGATTAAACAGAAAATCTTCATTCCAACTTAAAGTATATATTGCTAATATAATTAACTGTATTCAATAAAACTACATTAAACTAGCTTTGCGCCCGCAGGTTCGCCCGCGTGGAGTTCGGTTATATCGCGTTTCCAAGAGAACCTGTTGAAATTAAGTAAAATAATTCTAATATTGGTGAACGTACAAAGCTTTATTTTTAATCTTAGACACAACATACTGAATGTGCGCAGATACAAGTTATAATAAAAACTAAAAGTTGGTAAACTTATTTCTCTACTGACAGAGCAGCAACATTCACAAAGTACAGAGAGTTGTACCAACCATGTAATTATATTGCTAATTTAACAACAGAACCTTTCAAAAGTCGGATAAAAACTATCCTGTTCTTTCTCAAGGTCAACTCTATCTCTGTTCCGAATTTCATTAAAATCAGTTCAGTGGTTTAGGCGAGAAAGCATAACAGACAGACAGAGTTACTTTAGCATTTATAATATAAGTAGGGATTAGTCATGTATGTATAGTGGTAAGTATCAAACTGATTGACAGCAACTAATATAATAAAGTGATCTATCTACATAACATTTGACATACTATTATTTTAGCCGAGCAAGTATAACTTATATATAATATTATTGAATCATTTTATTAATATTCCAGGGGGATTCAGTTCGTCCTGGTATACTTGTGTTGATCAACGATGCTGACTGGGAACTATTTGGTGAACTGGAGTATGAGTTACAGAACAACGACGAGATCACATTCATATCAACATTACACGGAGGATGATTATTGATGTTTGTATTCATATATATAATAAATTATCATTTATATGAGTGTTTGTATATAAGACCTAATTCGGTGGAAAGTATTTTTATATTTTATAAGTAATTAAGATTCTGTTAATTTATAGACTGATTATTATTATATAACCTCAAATATATAAGTATATATATGCAGTGTGTGTACTTCTAAGCTGGTTTCTTCTTGTGTCCTAAAACCTACAGTTTATGAATATTCCCAAGTAGAGTAGAATGTTTGAACTGTGTCACTTATATTATATAAATATAATAGTGTCTTTCTAATAGACTACTCGTTAACTGAAACTGATATCTTCTAGTTTATAAAACTTGTTCAATACTAGGACGAAATCTAATCTAGGATAAAATTACATATAAATATTGTACCTATTAATAGCCCGGTACACAAACATTTGACTAATGCCAAGCGTGTGGTGAGTTTTAAAAATTGCATTTGGCTCCATACACACTTTGTGAAATGCAATCACAATGATTCGGTTCTGTTTATCACTCCACTCCATTTTAATATCGCATAATATTGAACAATGTATTGGCGCCAAAATAAGAAAACAATGAAAAATTATATAAAAATGACAGATTCTGAATTCAAATGTAATATTTATTTTTACTTATGGCCAGACTATGTATATGTTATTATATTTAAATGTAATTTGTTGTAGACAAAACATTCTTTTGTTAATATTCTAGACTATGTATGTCTTAGAGTCCTACAAAACTCATGTAATGTGGTGCCCTGAGAGAGGAATGAAAGCCGAGACTGCTGAATAGATACTGTCTTTATTTATAATAGATCGTACATTAAATAGGTACAAAATTAGCTTGCGTAGTATATAATGGTTAATAAGTATGTTTAGTTAATATAATTTATTCACTACATCTGTCTTCCTGGCTTAATGTTTGTAAGATTATCAATAGTCCATAGTTACATTGTATTGAACAAAGGAATTATAAAAATTCACAACTTTATTTCTACTTATATTAGTTAAAATATTTGATAGTAATACAACCGTTTTATAATGAAACGCCCAATCAGTCAAAACATATAATTCTTCTTGACCACCTCTGTCCATCTTTCCTCCATAGGTGGCGGGGGCAGAGGTCTTGCCGTCTTCTCCTTCTCCTTGGCCCTTTTGGCCTTGGCACCGCTGGCCGCTGCTCCAGGCCGCTTAGCTTCTGTCGCAGCCGTGGCTGGTGCTGGTGTCCTGTCCGATGCCAGGGGAGGTCTTAGGCGCTTTTCGGGTAGCAGGCGCTCCTCTATCCCCTGGAGCTTTGCGTCGATCATGGTCCCGATTTGTCGTCCGTCTCGTCCGTCCGATCTGTCCTTGTTTGTGTGAGTTTGTCCTGGTCCGCCCGTAGACGGGCCTGTCCGTTCCTCAACATCCCCAACTCTTGTTGGAGGAGCGCGTTGTTTCGCCTCCGCTGGTCCGCTGCAGGATAACAACGCCGCCGACGTCTTGAGCGCCCGGATCCAGCCTCCTTTCAAATTTTTGGAGTTTGTGGCCACCTCCACAATAACTTCCAGGGCCCTCTCCATTTCTTAAGCAAGTGATGAGGCCGGCAGCGTCTTCACTGATGATATGGCGGCTTCGACCCGCCGCGCCGTCATCACCGCCGTTTCCTCATCCCTAGCCCTGTCACTGTCGCCATCTTCGCCTCCCCTCTTTTCACGAGTGAGGATTTGGCACTGCCACCAGTGGGGCTCCCATCTGACTCCCTCCTCAGCGGTCTCTTACGGAGCGGCGTAAGCTCGTCGTTGTCCCGCCAGCGAAGAACGACGAGCGCGTCTCCTCCTCCGCCTCCATCTCTGACCCACTCGTGGTGTGCACCCTCCTCGTCACAGTAGTCTGCTCCTCGTCGGAAGCATGGCTTGCCGTTCCCGTTCACTAGCTTACGCACTTACGCAGAGAACGTCGAGGTGGTTTAGTGGGTGGAAATCCCACACGCCTCTGTCGCGTTTCCCCGTTTCAGGAAGTCTTTAAAAAGATTCCCCTCGTAAAAAAAAAGGTATGTGAATAGCTATGGGTAACTTGGTTTTGAGAGTTGAGTATTCGTTCTTGTGAAGCCAGTGATTCTTCTCCACCATTTGATTGATTCGTGAGAAGAATATCTGTGGTTTTAGTTCTATTTCCTTGGAGAAGAAATTATATATATCGACAAGCGGAGGTTCTTCTTTAAATCTTCTATGTATGACCTTGTTGTGACTGGATAGATGTTACCTGAAAGAAGTTTTAGTAAAGATTCAAATTAATTAATATTTTGATACATGAAATAAAGTTATAAGGGTACTTATTAAATTATATTTAAGTATAGTACGTTAGATTTAAGCTGAGCTTCACATTGGTGTGAATGAAAGTAAAATTAGAGTAAGACAAAAATCTTCAAGAATTAAATTCTTAATTATAAATAAAATAAGCAAAACTTGCAAAAGGCCACATGTAAATATTATTAATATTATGGGTTATACTATACAGTGAGGCAGGCTGAGTCCTGAACAACTTTTATAATCACTACGTGTCGAGTGTCATATGTTTTAATATAGACGTGTGGAGTCGCGTGTGTCAACTAGTACTTAACTGTTTGGACACGAGGACTCGTTCAGGTTCAATATATAGTAGTGTGAAGAGACGCGTTGTTGGAGCGGAGTTTACTAGAAACATAAGACATACTAGCTTGACGCCCGCAGCTTCGCCCGCGTGGAGTTCGGTTATATCGCGTCTCCAAGAGAACCTTTCAAAATCTGGGATAAACACTATCCTATGTTCATTCTCAAGGTCAACTTTATGTCTGTAACAAATTTCATTAAAATCAGTTCAGTGGTTTAGGCGTGAAAGTGTAACAGACAGACGGAGTAACATTCGCAATTATAATATTAGTAGGGATTAATTTATGGAAATATTATTTATGTATGGCGATGCTCAGGTACTTAGTGTAGTAGTTGTTAGATACTCCTGCAGTAATATATATACATATGTAAACAAAATTATAATTTTTTAACGCGTCATAGACATACCCCAAATATTGTTATATGTGTAATTTTACATTGTATAACGAAACTTTTACATAGAAGAGAACTTGTATAATAGATCATATATATATTTGTATTTATTGTGATATTGTAATCCACATTGTAAATTAATAGTTTTGAATGTAATTTCTTTTCTGATTTGTCACAGGTCAGTATTGTAAACTTGTTAATGGAACCTAATATAAACTTAACAATAAAATTATTTTCTTACGGAGAAACCATTGATATTTTAATTAATTGTGTCATACAAATCACTATATTATATGTTATATATATAATTGTACTGACTTTTTGATTATAAAATATTAATTGAAGCAACCGTTTTTTACTAAATAAATACACATATATATGGTGCATAAAATAAAATAACATTTTTACAATTCTCTGCTGTTTGTTACGGCAAATCTCTGAAATGGCTGGACCGATTTTGAGGACACTTATTAGCAGGTGGCGCGTAAACTAAGGAGTAACATACCGCATACGAGTAGGTACCTGTATAGTTACTCTAAATATATATTAAATGAGGAAATAAGTAAGTGATGACTGTATAGACATTTAAGAAATAATTTCTAATAGTAAAATCACACAAAACTGTTCTCTATAAAAAACAATATTTTAGTAAGCTGTTATCGTTAATGTGAGTTCGTGATTTCAAGAAATAAATTTCTTATATGATACAGATGGTTAAAATAATAACGAATGAAATATACACATTTACATATATCGATGTCTTTTGTTTATTGATTCACTATAAGAAGTTTTTATATATATTATACAGGGTGACTGGTGAATTACTATTGATACTTGAGGACGTGATATTTGACGATCATATATGACACAATAAAAATTAATATGACATAAATGTTAATAAACTTCTAAGTAAAGTTAACCAAAAGTTATGTAATTAATTTCGCATCGTGTGAACACCCTACAGATTAGGTATACACACACACACACACACACTCGCGCGCGGCAGCGTAGTGTTGTATCAGCACGCCGCCGCACGCGTCCACACGTGGAACACTTGGAACGTGTCCACACTTTATTTATTTATTCGGAAATTTGGTCAAAAATTAAGTACCAATTTTTTTTACATAATTAGAATGAGAATCATGTACCCAGTATTCTCCTTAAATATTGATAGTAATTCACCAGTCACCCTGTATATATAATTACATATATTTATGTATATTAATATAAACTCCAAATATTGTTATCTGTAGTTGAATAACATATAACGAAACTGTTACCAAGAAGAGAACTTGTCATTACTTCTCCTGGTGCGTCGTCTGCAGGTAGCATGTCGGCGTGGAGTACATGGCGTACATTTGATGTTTGAAGCCTTCTTCATTGACAAAACTGAAAAATATTATTAATATATATATAATTACATATATTTATGTGTATTAATATAAACTCCAAATATTGTTATCTGTAATTGTATAACATATAACGAAACTGTTACCAAGAAGAGAACTTGTCATTACTTCTCCTGGTGCGTCGTCTGCAGGTAGCATGTCGGCGTGGAGTACATGGCGTACATTTGATGTTTGAAGCCTTCTTCATTGACAAAACTGAAAAATATAATTAATATATATATAATTACATATATTTATGTGTATTAATATAAACTCCAAATATTGTTATCTGTAATTGTATAACATATAACGAAACTGTTACCAAGAAGAGAACTTGTCATTACTTCTCCTGGTGCGTCGTCTGCAGGTAGCATGTCGGCGTGGAGTACATGGCGTACATTTGATGTTTGAAGCCTTCTTCATTGACAAAACTGAAAAATATAATTAATATATATATAATTACATATATTTATGTATATTAATATATACTTCAAATATTGTTATCTGTAATTGTATAACATATAACGAAACTGTTACCAAGAAGAGAACTTGTCATTACTTCTCCTGGTGCGTCGTCTGCAGGTAGCATGTCGGCGTGGAGTACATGGCGTACATTTGATGTTTGAAGCCTTCTTCATTGACAAAACTGAAAAATATAATAAATATATATATAATTACATATATTTATGTATATTAATATAAACTACAAATATTGTAATGTGTGGTTCATTTTAAATTGTATAACATATAACGAAACTGTTACCAAGAAGAGAACTTGTCATTACTTCTCCTGGTGCGTCGTCTGCAGGTAGCATGTCGGCGTGGAGTACATGGCGTACATTTGATGTTTGAAGCCTTCTTCATTGATAAAACTGAAAAATATAATTAATATATATATAATTTCATATATTTATGTATATTAATATAAACTCCAAATATTGTAATGTGTGGTACGTTTTAAATTGTATAACATATAACGAAACTGTTACCAAGAAGAGAACTTGTCATTGCTTCTCCTGGTGCGTCGTCTGCAGGTAGCATGTCGGCGTGGAGTACATGGCGTACATTTGATGTTTGAAGCCTTCTTCATTGATAAAACTGAAAAATATAATTAATATATATATAATTTCATATATTTATGTATATTAATATAAACTCCAAATATTGTAATGTGTGGTACGTTTTAAATTGTATAACATATAACGAAACTGTTACCAAGAAGAGAACTTGTCATTGCTTCTCCTGGTGCGTCGTCTGCAGGTAGCATGTCGGCGTGGAGTACATGGCGTACATTTGATGTTTGAAGCCTTCTTCATTGATAAAACTGAAAAATATAATTAATATATATATAATTTCATATATTTATGTATATTAATATAAACTCCAAATATTGTAATGTGTGGTACGTTTTAAATTGTATAACATATAACGAAACTGTTACCAAGAAGAGAACTTGTCATTGCTTCTCCTGGTGCGTCGTCTGCAGGTAGCATGTCGGCGTGGAGTACATGGCGTACATTTGATGTTTGAAGCCTTCTTCATTGATAAAACTGAAAAATATAATTAATATATATATAACTAGCTTTCCGCCCGCAGCTTCGCCGCGTGGAGTTCGGTTATATCGCGTTTCCAAGAGAACCTTTCAAAAGTCTGGGATAAAAAACTATCCTATGTTCTTTCTCAAGGTCAACTCTATCTCTGTACCGAATTTCATTAAAATCAGTTCAGTGGTTTAGGCGTGAAAGCGTAGCAGACAGACAGACAGACAGACAGACAGACAGAGTTACTTTCGCATTTATAATATTAGTAGGGATTACATATATTTATGTATATTAATATAAACTCCAAATATTGTAATGTGTGGTTCATTTTAAATTGTATAACATAATATAACGAAACTGTTACCAAGAAGAGAACTTGTCATTGCTTCTCCTGGTGCGTCGTCTGCAGGTAGCATGTCGGCGTGGAGTACATGGCGTACATTTGATGTTTGAAGCCTTCTTCATTGATAAAACTGAAAAATATAATTAATATATATATAATTTCATATATTTATGTATATTAATATAAACTCCAAATATTGTAATGTGTGGTACGTTTTAAATTGTATAACATATAACGAAACTGTTACCAAGAAGAGAACTTGTCATTGCTTCTCCTGGTGCGTCGTCTGCAGGTAGCATGTCGGCGTGGAGTACATGGCGTACATTTGATGTTTGAAGCCTTCTTCATTGATAAAACTGAAAAATATAATTAATATATATATAATTTCATATATTTATGTATATTAATATAAACTCCAAATATTGTAATGTGTGGTACGTTTTAAATTGTATAACATATAACGAAACTGTTACCAAGAAGAGAACTTGTCATTGCTTCTCCTGGTGCGTCGTCTGCAGGTAGCATGTCGGCGTGGAGTACATGGCGTACATTTGATGTTTGAAGCCTTCTTCATTGATAAAACTGAAAAATATAATTAATATATATATAATTTCATATATTTATGTAT